CAGCACCACACACCCTTCGCTCTGGCCGCTCAGGACAGCGGCTCTCTGGAGCTGCTGTCTCTGCTGCTGCTGGCTCTGAGCAGCGCCTGGGCGGTGGGCTGCCACCCTCTGAGCGAAGCCGTCTTCCACCTCGTCAACAGCTGGCTGGCGGTGGAGGACCACTGTGGCTACGAACTGCCCTGGGCTCTGCACAGACTGCTGCCCTGTCTGGGAGGAGCCCCCTACCACCAAGTCCACCATACTCTCCACAGTGTCAACTACGCCCCCTACTTCATCCACTGGGACGTCCTCTTTGGCACATACCGTGCACCAGAGAAGTATTCTCGTCCAAAGTGACAAAACTGTTGCTTATATAAAAACTGAGGATTGCTCAAGTTCCAGCAAAGCTGCCAAGATGCACTGAAGGATAATTTCTGCAGATTTTGGTCATTCCTGATCATCCTGTTTCATGTTTGATGTTCACAGCAAACCAATCATGGCCATTTCAGTCAGACATCCTACAATGTGAAGACATATTCCGAGTTGTGACCACAAAATGCCATTTATAATAAAAAATAATTGAAATCTGTATAATTTGCTCAACAAGACTACATTATCAATGTTTCTTTGTCATTAATCTCAGAATTCACCACGTTCATGGACAAACATCCTGTGCAGGTGCAGTATTTACAATGTGAAACGCTGATATCTACAGCTGTCCTCTATCAAGTGACTGTAGCACGAGATGAGAAGAGAGTAGAGATGACACAACAAATCAAGACAATGAAACAATGAACAAATGTGAAACTGATGTGCCCTCATGACATGGGAGTGTGTTAGGATGGATTCATGCTTTCATGTTGTACAGTCGACGTACGGCAGATAGTTTCATTTCCGTCAGTGCAGATCATATGTGAAGTTAAAGAGAAAATCAGAAATCTGAGTAAATATTTGCTGGTATTCACTCATGCCAGGTCACTTTACAAACTGGTTAAAGGAAAGAGGAGTTTGATGCCACTCTCAAGGTAGTACAGTACAATTGGAAGCTACAGCCAGCAGCTAGTCAGCTTAGCTTAGCACAAAGACTGTAAACCATAAAACAGCTAGCCTGCCTCAGCGGGAGGTGAGTGCGCCTGGCCAAGAAATTGTCCAGCACATAACAAACCGTAAAGCCAGACAGATCGTGCCAACAATCGAGGTAAGCTTAAGGTCCTTCGGTAGGTTGATCTTGTTACCCTATAGTTTCCAGTCTTTATGCTAAGCTATAAGCAAAACTGCCTGCTGGCTGTAGATTCATATTTACTGTTCATCGATTTTGTATTCTGGCAGGAAAGCAAATAAAGTGTATTTCCCAAAATGTCAAACTGTCTCCTAAACAATTAGATATTTGAGCCAAAAGCTGTTGTATAATTTGTATCATATTTCTTGATGAGTATATTGTAAAGATTTTGTTTATCCATGCAGGAGAAAACATGGAAACAGGACACATGTTTGTGGTTTTGTTGTTCACTTCAGGTTCAGGTTTCTGTACCGAGGTTAGTGATTGTTATGCCCTGGGCCTCCCAGCAGTCTACTCTCTGTAAACTGGCTCCATGTGGATTTTACTGAGTTATCGAAACCACATGTTTTCAGAGATGAGAAGACTTTCAGTCATTATTTGCAGTTGCAACCTTTGTAATTTATTTTACATGCGTTGTCATCAATACATTTAAAATCCAACAATGCCCTGAGGACAGGGTTTATTTTTAACAGAATGCAGCTGGAGTCATACCAGATGACTTGTAGCTTTCCTCTCCTTTGGCACTCATGCTGTGTTCACATGAAAGAGCTTCCTTTAACTCATCACAGTGAGATAGGGGGTCTAACACTTTGTGAATCACCACAGGGGGCCAAATGCAGTTCTTGTAGAGAGATAACAAGTTTATGTATCATTTCTTTACCTCAGCAATGATGTGCCATTTTGAAAATGGTCCTAACGTGTAATAATACAACCCCTTATTTATTGGATTTTCTCACAAGCCGCAGCCTTCTCACTAACAACCTGTAATTTATTTTTTGAGGGTGTCTGGCGAGTGAAAGTCATCACTTCTACTGAAGAACGACAGTTGAAGTCATAACCACACTGAACATCTGTTTTTCATTTCTCTCTCTTCCAATGGGCATTTTGAAATTTTGCAACATCCGAGTCAAATGCAAATCGTTAAAAGATGTTAGAACATTTGGACTTACTATTACATGATCAAAAACAAATGTTGGGTTATTTCTTGGGAACAAAAAGAGATGAGAGGAAAGAGGGAGCGATGAGTGCAGGGTGGTGGTGTTGCCAAGAGATGGAATGATAAACATGTGACCCAAAACGGAAACAATCAGGCCCTATTACAGACCCCACGTCAGAGTCAGGGCGAGTCATGCAGCTTCGGTTGACACACACCGAAACACACGTTCACAGCGAGACACACGGCGACGTTCCTGCAGCCGACGTCACGATGTCAGACACTGGAGCGTCACAGGATTTTGAAGCACTTTGAACCGTCTGTACATTTTGAAACGTTCAGTTTGTTTACTTGTTGATAGGTGTGCTCCTAAATCAATCACGTAGGCAGAATACTTCACAAACTCCAGAAAAGGGACTCAAATTGTTTCGACAGAAGGAGCCATGTCAAAACAAAGAGAGAGGAAAAAGCACAGAGCACTCTCCACCAGTCCTTATCAACAGAGCAAACACTAAAGACTTCCCATTTCATCATATTTCCTGAAAGTTTGCTATTCAGTGACAAAGGCCAGATTCATATTTCTTCCACCATTCTGTAAATATTCAATTAGTGAGCTTCACATAGCTGAGGCACACTGTTGTCACTGGTGGAGGTTCTTGCCCTCAGGTCTGGAACCATTTTTAGACGACCTCTGCTCTCATCTTACATGAGAGGTCAGTCAGTGACTTGTTTGCTTTCTGAAACATCTCAGTGCACTTGTCATTAGTGGGCTGTTGCCAAAGGCTTTTTTAAAAAATTAAATTAAAGATTTGAACAACATGTTTCTAGAACTGCAACTCCTGTTACGACACACAGTTAGATGAGAAACCAGTGTATCTACAGCATCAGAACTGTACTGTATGGTGATCCACAAAAGAGGACAGTAGGAGGTAGCAGAAGCATTACACAATCATATTGTAATAATGTAGCCATCGTGTTCTGATTGCATAAGTGATATTTACCCAACACATATCTCTCGCCTTCTTTTTGTTAACTCTTACTAAATAAGTGACTATAATGACTGCATTAGAATTGTTAATGTTGCAGTAACCTCTTAAAGGAAATCTGTGCATTTAATACCACACTCATATCTGTTTGTTAATAGCATATATAGCTTTGCATTAAGGGTGGAAATGGGGTAAACACCAACTGCATTACAACCTCACAGTGACAACAAGAATCTAGAAAGTCACCGTGCCTGAAATAGTCCAGCAAATAATCCCCAGTAAAAAACTAAAATTGTAATCAAACAAATATTTTTTTTTCTTTGGGCAATGCTAGTTAAGCTGTGTCCTCGTGCTTCTAGTATTTATTCTAAGCTAAGCTAATTTACCCCAAACAGTATAGCTTCATAATTAGCATACAGACAGGAGATTGATATCGATCTTCTCATCTAACTCTTGGCAAAAAAGCAAATGAGCACACTTCCAAATATGCCAAAAGTAATCTTTACTTTGCTATCCAAATCTTGTGTTATGCCTGTGTGTGTCTTCGTCTTTGATTTTTATCATTCTTGACTTCAATTCTGCTGCTGTAGCTGTGGAGTTCACCCAAACAGAGCACAGTAATGTCACCTTTCAATGAAGATTAGTGTGATGCACATTCTGAAAAACAAAGAAATAATAGAAACTTTTACACATTTCCGAGCACGAATCAGATTTCTATCCTTAATTTTTCTTCGATGTGCGTTGGTCCATGAAACGAACAACAAGATGCTCTTGTGATGTAGTTTATTAACATTCATAGAAAAATGAGTGAGAACTGAAAGAGATACTGGAGTCCAGATCTTTTTTTTGTTCACATTTTCTTTTTATGAACAGGTCTTCCATCACAGCTGTCTGCATCTGCTAGCTGTCAGTGTGAGCAGCAGGCCATCCATTTTGTTCATTAGCGGGCCTTCCTCTCAGTTTCCCATGGTTCTATGTTTGTGTGCATGTATGAACTGTGACCTGAGAGCTGATACTGTCGGACTAAATGATCTGAAAGTCAGAAATGCATTGTATCATTGGTCTAATGGCTTCCTCCTGAAATAATGGAAAGGAAAGTTGACAGACCGAGATCTTTTCATTGATAATTGTAATGTGGGAAATAGATCATATACACATCAGCATGGCATTTCAGCTCCAAATATTTACATTCATCTTGATATCAGATAATCCTAATGACATTTTGATGGTCTGTAAACTTTCTGAAAGACAAAGGATCAGTTAAGGAGACTTTTCATGTAGGATTTGTAAAGTAATTTATTGTTTTAGAAATTACCATTTCTCTTCCCAACAGAATTCATTTTGTGCTGCAAATGCATTGTCAGGATACAAAACCTGCTCTACACTAAGCAACTTACCAATATACATATATACATATATATATGTATATATATACATATATATATATATATATATA